TGGTAGACAACAGTTACTTTCATAAGCTCAGCAGCCAGCTGCTGATATCATCATTGTACAGAAAGTTCATATATACTATCTAAATAGATTGTTTTTTTGGTGGCAGTGACAAAACTATAGAATACCACGTATCAAAATAAAGTGCATATTTCGTCTTGAGAACTGGGGGACCTACATGCTTGTTGATAAAAACTGGATCTTTAATCTCTGGATATATGCCGACAGTTCTGTCTGCATCTAGGGCAATTGAAATGAATTCTTCAAATGTAATGATTGAAAACATACCTGAATGACAAGATCACAAGAAAATAATAGATTGCTATCATTAATCCCCAATAACAATCTTCCATGCGAGTTAATGCAAATGTGTTCTTTGGCCAAGTAAAGTCTAACACAAAATAATATAGCTGTACTAGTTCTAAATAAACAAGGGTTTCGTAAAGGAAATGGAATACCTGCTTTGGTGAAGAGAAATAACTATGTTAAATCAACAAATAAGAATCCTAGATTGTATCAGATAATGGGAAGAAATGTTATTGAGAAAAGAACCAATGAACCACATCCTATACATTCTGAGTAATTAAAACAACAAAATTCCTATGATTTCCTAGAATATTTCTGCACTCATAAATAAAAGGGTATGTTGTTTACAGTGCATAGAAACATATCAGAATATTCCCTCAGGAGAAAAATCAGAATATTTTGGCTGGCGAGTGATGAAACTAATTATTTCCAGCTAACCGCCAAGTTTATAGCAGTTACAGTAAGAAGCAAATAAACTGGCAGCAGCAGGTCATTTCAGCAAATGCACATGCATGTGACAAGAATCAATTCAAGGCTCTTTGGAGTTGGAGCACATCAGCATGGTCATAGAAGAGGAAGTGTGGCATGAAACAATTATGACAAGTTGACAACAAAATCCATGCGAAGGATATCCATACCATTGTATTGTTGATCTCTGAACGAGTATCTCTGCTTCACTTTAAGTGTTTTAAGTTCCTCCAGTGTGAAGTCCACTGCAAACCAACACTTCGACATTAGTTTAAATAATCAAGAACACATAAGCTTAGAGCGGTGCCTGGGGGCATCCCTTGGGACACACAGATCCGGGTTCGAGCCCCCATGGGCGCTCCCCGTGGTTCTGCATTAAAAAAAGGTCCCTAGTTGTGCAAACTATTTTTAGCAGCAGGCGCAGGGTGTGCCTCCTGGGCAGGCAGCCTTCACTCTTCAGGATCTTTTCTAGACGCAGGAGTGGTTTGCATCTACCTAACATCAAAGCTGTTGGGCGGTCTTTCCCCAGAGATCTAGTTTTTTTTTTCCTTTCCAAAAGCTTACAAGTTTGTCATTCTCATTTCATCCCTCCACGTAACATGAAGTTGAAACTGTCAATATATTATATGTAAATAGTGTTCCAGTATAGATGAGCATGTAATAAATTCTGAATTAGAGTCAAGAAAACGCAGCAGGGATGCATTGTTATTTCCTTGTTGCTTAACTATATTTCATGTAGCAGATATGTAAATTAACGGTAATAACAAAAGGAGTGAAGAAATCAGGGTTGGTTGTAAGATACAAACCTACAAACCATCCAGTAACATTAAACCACTCCACTTCATAGGTTCTTCTTCGATTTGCAAATTCCTTACGCCTGGCAACATCAGTTGTATCGTCCAGTGTTACATCATGAAAACAAATCAAGGCCCCATCTTTGCTAGCAAGGATGTCAGACTCTATAAAATCTGCCCCCTCTTCAATAGCTCTCTGCAATAGGATTTCTTTTGGTTAAATGTGATTTTCCAATTTAGAATACCTTATTGTCCACATGCTAGAAAAAATATAAACTTGTGATATGTGAATTCAATAGTCCTTTGCATTAATCGATATCTGATAATACAAAAACATCTTATTCCCTTGGCAAGATAGAAATATAGAATTCTGCTACAGATCAATAGTGCTCGCAATTTTCTGAGCAGTACCAGGTATGCAGCAGCTGTTTCCTCGGGAATTTCCCCATTTGAGCCACGATGAGCAATGTTATATGGTCGAAACGTCTGTATGGGTTTCTTCTCTTCATTCTTCGTCTTACTCGGCAGAGGAAAGAGAGGCCTAGCAAATGCCAAATGTAATAGTAGCAGAAGAAAAAGAGGCGCACAATCTGCCAGGGACATCGATGCAGATAAATTAGAGATAAGTATACTATTAGCTACAACATAGATTAAGGCCATATGCAATCTAGAAACATTAGTCATGGTTCGAATACGCATTGCATCAGGGATGTCAATTTCTTTTCTCAAACATGCAGTAGAACTGCATGCCATTGTATTAATAGTTAAAACAGCCCCATTACATGCCATCTCCATGGCTTGGGGTTAGTTTTTTTTTGGTAGGATTTCCACCCTAGAACATATGATCAAGGCTGTCAAATGAAGATACATTAAGACAAATGTGGCATCAGGTGCACATTAAGATTCTATCATGGAGATCTTTTAAGATATTCATGTTGCAGCAACATGGATAGAATATGCAAGAATGTCAATTATATGGAGAGAACCACAATATAAAATACAGAAGAAAGAATAAATCTAGCTGCCACTGCCTTTGTTTTCTACTTCTTCTGCACGTGGATGTAAGGATACGCATGTTTGTGCTTTGGAACCTTAGTCAATGTAAGATCCCTTTGCAGTTCAAAAAGAAAGAAAAAAAATCCTCTCCCCTCCATTAATTTTGGAGTTTTCTTTCTTTTTGTATCTGTCATGCTCCTCCATCCACAGTTTACTAGGGGTCACAAGTTACCACTCTCAAGATCAAGTCTTCAAATATCGTTGGAGTATTGATTCAAAATGGAATATGCCAATTCATCTCTCGGATTTCTACATATGCGGGATATGAAATCAGAACAACTGAACAAGTCTGAACACACCAGAGTATATGTTCATCAGTAGTGTGAAACTAGGTAGTATCATGATCTAATTAGCACAACCAACCCAGAAATTTCCTTATTAAACAACCTAGAAGGTGCTAAATTCACGCTATACCCATTCATCCAGACATATCCACCTCAGAAAGGCATACCAGATACAGACCGGAATAGCAACAGATAGGCAATTCAGAGCAAGCTCATTCCACATCACACTCGCACCCTGCAAAAGTACCCTTCACTGCCTTATTTTCGTATCACGAACCAACAAAAACCATGCCAGATCATTCACAAACTGGCCATTCCACAGTTAGCTCAGCGCAAATGCAGATGCAGCCCCCGCCTTACAATTATAAGGCGATCGCGCACGGATAAAAACAAGGACGCGGAATGAACTGCTGAAATTTGGGCACTGCACCAAGCGCCGAGCGCCGAGCGCCGAGCGCCGAGCATTCAGAAATCAGGATGGGCCAACGAATCGAGGGGGAGAGGGTCACTTACAGAGAGAAGGGCGCATGGTGCAGCGGTGCTCCCTCGGTCTTTCCCCCCTGTCGCCCACACTCTTCTTGCTCCACTTCGCTGGAGTCCCTCCCGTCTCCCCGCTGTATATGGGAGCGAGCGAGCTTGCTATGCTCCGGTTTCAGTGGAGCAGAAGAGGAAACGGCGCGCGGCACCTCGCTCCGTGCTGAGCGCCTCTGCTCTCTCCTCGCTCCCACAACCCCGCTTTTTCTTTCTGTCACGCCATCGCTTCTTCATCGTCAATCCCTTGACGGAACGGAAGGCACAATCCAACCAAATCAATGGCCGCCCCAACCAATGAGATTGCCGAACGGTTACGAGCTATACAACCACCTACCGTTCGCTGACACTGACAGGTGGCTACAACATCACATTGCTCCGGTAGGGCCCACCCGTCTGCTACTCCTCGACGGTGGAGTAGACGCGTGCGTTTATACGTTTCCGGCGCCGTTGACGGAATATTCTGGGAATAACTCTATCGCCTTTCATATAAAAAAGTGTATTTATTCAACATTAAATGGAAATATATGATTTTTTGGAAAAAAAAGTAAGCTTCGGTACACGATTAATATACCCCTTAAATTTTGTATTATTTTCTTGAGTATTTTAACGATCTTGAATGATAAAATTTCAAAACTAAAAACTTATAGATCTCGTCGGTCAATAGCTACAACTTTAATATAAAAAATATCCTCATTTGATACCTATCAAGAAAAATATAATTTTCGTGAGGCGAAAATCCCTTGTTCACGATTAATATGCATTCAAACTTTATATTATTTTCTGGAGCATCTTAACAATATCAAATGTAAAAATTCAAAACTACAAAGTTGTAGATATCATTGAGAGTTAGAACTTTGGTATAAAAAGTATCTTCATTTGACTTCATACGAAAAGATATTACTTGTTTAATGCGGCAAACGTTGGTACGTGATTATTATGATGCTGAAATTTTATATTTGTTGAGCATTTTATCGTCCTCAAATGAAAAAACTCAAAACTAGAAATTTGTAGATCTCATCGAGATCTATAATTTTTTATAAATATCATCTTCATCCGACATCATATTGAAGAGTTATGATTTTTCGAAAGTTCAGGCTTGTCACGTCACTCTCGGTGTCGCGACAAAACAATACCGTCAAGCTCTTCCATGTCGAAAACGCGGTCCAACGTGGCAGATCTTGTCACACCACATGCGTTGGCACGACAGCGTTATTTGGTCGCGCAAAAAATGTCAGATCTGTAAAAAAAATAGCGTTATTATTAAAATATTGAATAAAAATGATTAAAAATCTAAAAAATCCCTAGCGTGGGGACGGCTCCTGGGCTCCCGTGCCGGCCTGCCTTTCTGTGCCGGAATTTGATCGGCATGGGCTGGTCCAGCTCGACACGCCCCGACACGGCAATGGTCGCGTAGCTTTTGCCGTTTGGTGCGGCCCATGTTCTCGCCCAACAGAAACCGAGTCCCGAGCCCATCGCCATTTCCAGCGTCTTGTCTCGCTGTATCGGCTGATCTCCCCACCCTCCTCCCCTCTTCGTCGATCCCACCACCGCGCCGACCCCGATGGCCTCCGCCGCTTCATCGGCCGCCGGCGCTGGCAAATCGCTGTTCCAGGGGCTCCGCAGGTTCCTCAAGAAGCCGTGGGAGATCACGGGCCCCTGCGCCTCGCCCGAGTACCGCAGCGCGCTGCCTGACGCGCTCGAGTACCGCGTCAAGTGCCCGGCCACCGTGCGCGACGACCGCGACAAGGCCATCTTGCCCACATCCGATCCAGAGACAGTCTACGACATCAAGTACTTCACCCGCGACCGCCGCCGGAACCGCCCGCCAGTGCGCCGCACCCTGCTCCGCAAGCCCGAACTCGAGCGCTACATGGCCACCAAGCAGTTCGACCCCACCAAGGACTTCCCCGTGCCATACGTCAACACCACCGTCGAGGAGGACGACAACACGGTCGGCGGTGGCTACCAGAAGTGACTCAGGTGAGAGGTGGTGTCTCCTCTTAGATCTGAGGTGGCAGCTAGGGTTTCATACTTTGCGATTTGATATATTCGGGCTGCAAGACGAGGTATTGCTGGCTTGCCACAAAACTTGAAGCAGTTATCCGGACATGGTTGAACTTGACTGTGCTTGATGCCTATGTCGTGTATGTTACGTGCGTTAGCTAATTGAGTAGGCCTGCAATGTAAGACAAGGTATCATTTCATCAGAGTCAAACACACCACATAATTTCACATGACCAAGGCAGTAGTAATTTTTTTTACAGAGGTAATACCCTGCTTTTATAGAAAACATTTAAAGGTCTGATACCCAAGGCATTAGTAATTAGATGATCATATCTTTATAGTCTGCATTATTGTCTCATGGAGGGATGTTTCTGTGTTTTTGTTTGCGATTTGGTATATGTCCATGTTTATTAAGGCGGTAAGTCAAGCCGTGGCAACCCGCCCATTTGAGTACACTAGGCGTTTAGGGCGCGCGGTGAGGCAACGCCATACAGACATCTTAATATATAATGCCATTAAAATTCAGAAGCAAATCATACCTTAATATTGCCAATTCTTAGCATAATACCATAATAAGTAGTGCTACCATAGTGCTAGCGCCCAACACAAAGTAGCAAAATAGCAAGTCTGAAATCTCTCAATAGCAATAGATTAGTCTCTAATGACATAATATAACTTAATGAGTAGTGCTACTAGTGCAAAACAGACCACAATCACAAGCTCTGAGCACTTAGCAGTCAAACACATGAAGGCAGAGCAGTTTACATCCATCCAGAAACAAAAGCAGCAGTGCAGACTGCAGACGGCAGAGCATATCCAAGTAAAGAGCAGAGGCGCACATCCAAGAGGAGGGAAGCCCAAGGGAGAGGAAGAGATGCATACGTACCTGTCTCGCGACCTTGCGACGCTGGGCTGAAGAAGACGGGAACCAGCAGAGAAGGGGAAGGAGCCGTGAATCAATCAGCAGAAAAGAGGGAGGACCAGAGGAGGCACCGATCAGGGTCGCAAATCAGTGGAGTAGAGGAAGGGAGTCTCAAATTGTCAGAGAGAGGCGTTAAGATGGAGCAGAAGAGGTGGAGCGGCAAGATTCTAGTGGCGCACCGCCAAGAACCAGGTGTGCGCCCTCTTCCGTTTCCCCCTCCCTGTCAATTGCCGTGTGGAGAGATGGGTTATGGCCTTGTGGAACCTGTGGGCGCGCGACTCCAGTTGGTCTCCTTCGCACGCAAATCTCCCATGTCTGCACCCATTTTTTCGTGTGCGCAGCTCCTCTCTCGTGCCCGCACCTAATCCCCTGTGCCCAAGCTCGTGCAGCGTCCGCATCAGGCCGCTTGTGCCTTAAACAGCACCAAATTGCGCCTAGGCGATGGCTTTTCTCGGCGGAGGTCATACCCCGATTGGTCGTGGCGAGGCCAACGCCCAACCTGGAAACTCTACTGGACGCCTAGGTGATGACTTTATGTCAGTTGGTTAATGCTTAAAATGTAATTTCTGCAGGTGTAGGGTTTCACTATAGAGTAGGCATTTTGTTCAGAAATGTCTCACTTTACTGTGTCATTCTCTGAGAAACCTCTATTATTGTGACTTATATTTGGGTTTGAGATTTGAGACTGGTTAATATACACAAGCTAGATAACAGGTTTCAAATGTTAGAACTTTAGCAATTTGTCTTTCAAATTAAGTAAACTGGAATGGGATAAAGTGGATTTGTTATCCATGCGGATTGTGGGCACAAGAAGTGGGCATGACAAAAGTGCGATATGAACTTTACACAATCCTCCCATCTGGAATCCTGCTGCTTGCAAGGCGGCTACTGAATTTATGCTGTTTAGTGAGATCAATGAAGCTTAGGTGGATAGCCGTGTTTCACTCTGCTTGGAAATTGTACATTTCACATTAGCTAACAGATTATTTTACAAAAAAAAAACATCCTATAAGTCACTTTGGTTTTGGGATCCCACCACCACCTCTATGTTTTGCTGCAAAAATCAGCCCACCACACATGCTCTATGCCGAATCCTCAACATGGAGCCATTAATGTAGTCTCTATGAAAGTTGAATTACTTATGAAAGTACAAACCTAACATTTTTTAGAACTTAGACCAAATGAATCACACATGAAAAACTTAAGCCTGGCCAAACCGATTTTTTGCTATATGCAAAATTTCTCCGCCGCAATATCATAAGTAAGCCTAATCCAAGTATTGGAACAAACTTGACTTGATGCATGACTTGTAGTGGCTCCATGTGTAGTGGGGTGGTTTTGAACGGAGTAGAGTACTGGGGTGGGCATTTACAATAAATATTTTTATGCGGTGGTATATCAAAATCCAAGTAACATATGGGTGGGTTTGCATTTTACCTTTATGTTTATGTCTGTTGTTTGGTGATTTTGCTGCCTCACTTTCAAAATGTTCGCCTTGCTTTTCATGCCACTGCATTCTGATTTGCTTTCATGAAATATATTGATTTGGGCCTTCAACTATAACTAGCTACAGACTTGAAGTGGAAGTCATATCTAATTATTGCCCCCCATGTATGTCGTTACATTGCAGGAAAAAGCTTGCTGATTTGATGCTGGTTAATTTGTCAGGCATCCTTTGCTTGGACTACATCAGAAGCTGCACTATTTTGATACCAGCTATTAAATATCCCTTTTTCTTTTGTTCCAAGTGGAAGTTTTCTGGTTGTAAAAGATGACGGTGGCAATAATATGGCACTTGTGGAGCTCACAGGATGCACATATCTTGTAACTTGTATTCAGAAACTGACTACCTGATACCAATGTTACTGTTTAATGCAAAATTTAAGGTTTCTATTCCAATGTGCACATCATCTCCAATTAGTTAGTAACTTATGCTGATTTGACAAAAGAGCAAAAAGTACTTCCGTTTGTACTTTTTGTACGATTAGAACACCATGTGCATGGCTTGTGATCTCATACCTGTATGTAGCGAGTCTTGGCATGGGAATTGGGAAGTCAGGACGTGCTCGTGGATGTGTTGATTGATCATTGATCATGGTCTCATGGATGGAGCGGTACGCTGGGGTACACATACATCGATGTGATTATATGATACAACGACTTATAATTTGGAACAAAGGTACATCGATATGATTATATGATACAACGACTTATAATTTGGAACAAAGGTAGTACCTGGAGTGTTTGCATGTGATCTCTTGGTTGGACCTTATCATGGTAGAGTCGATGGATCTAGGCAATTCGGCTTGTCTTTTTGACCAGTTTGGATGGCTACAAAGAGGCGCTAATTGCAGGGCAATTTTTTTATCGACACACATTTTAGACATTAGCCTATTATCTGGGCAATTGTGCAAATTCGAGCTAATTTTAACCATCTAATTATTAGCTCATCTAAACAGGTCCTAAGTGGGCTTATCCTTGCCTGAAGCTAATATTCTCTGTCTCTCTTGTGCCAGCTGTTGTTATGCCTGCAAAAGGAGGTTAGTGAGTACTAGTATGTTGCTATGCTGCTGATTTTGGTCGTGATGACTGATGACATACGAGATACGACTGCGCATTCATATTATAGGTCACAAATTCATAAACGATTAAAGTTCTCTATGATTTGATTGTTACGCATAAACATTATTGCTCCTCGAACTTATAAACACAAACTTTGGCTGACAAGTGATGACAATAGCGAACTCGCAACCAGTTCCTCTGTGGTACCTCTCTGTAGTTGAGTCATTGGCATGTCGGCCTGGTTATGCCAGTGACTCGCTACAGTGACGAACTGCACATTAGGCTCACTCAGCGAACTCATGTTCCTCACTACACATTAGACTCACTCGACGAACTCATGTTGCTCTGCACTAGTAATACATTACCCTAGTAGTTGGTACAAAATTTCCACGGGCACATAAATGTCAACTCCATCAAGGACTTCCCCCATGCCATACATTGGCATCAACGTCGTCGAGGAGGATGACAACATGGTTGGTTGTGGCCTGTGGGCCGGTGGCTACCAGAATGGAGCCAGGTGAGTTGGTGTAGCAACTAGGGTTTCAAATCCTCGGTAGAATTTGGTGCAAAATATCATCATGCATGCTTATCCAATTCAATCTTCTTTTGAGTCAAATCAATACTTTCTTCTTTGTTGTACTACTAGAAGTTAAGGTCAGCTTGCTGTAGCTGCAATAACTCTTAGGCACAGTAGTATTAAGGGTCAGTTTGGTAGAGCTCTCCTTCCTAATTCTTGAGCTTCACTTCTTGATTTTCCAGTGGATTGATTCTGATAGGGGAGCAAATTGTGGGGCTGGTGAGAATCAATTCTGAAGTGATTCTAGTGGCGATTGAATGGGGAGTAGTGGGAAGCGATAGACAGCGGGTTTTTTTAGCTCCCAGCTCGTAGTCTAAATGGCGAAGTGATTATCGGCAGCTCCCCATCGGAATCTGAATGTGATGCTCCTTAGGTCGTTTGTGTTTTAGATTTTACTAGACTTCAAGTACTCCTACTTCCTTCTGCCATAAAAACGTTCCGTAGACCGTACAACCATGCATCTAGGCTACGCGTGTGCTACTGTAATACTCCCTCCGACCACAAAAGAATGCAATTCTCAAATTTTGAGAAGTCAAACAGTTTTAGTTTTGACTAAAATTATATGAAAATGTACTAACACTCATGAGACCAAATAAGTATCATTAGATTAATTATGGAATATATTTTCATAATAAATTTATTTTGAGACATAAATGCTAATACTATTTACTCTAAATTTGATCAAAGTTAGGCTACTTTGACCGGCACGTTTTCCATAATTACATTATTTTCTGGATGGAGCGAGTAATCAGCAAGCTGTGTCACACACATACTCTCATAGCTGGGCACTGGCCAGACGCAGTCAGAGGAGGCATAGCATATGCATGCGCGCAAGCGCAACGGCCAAAAGGATCCAATCCATGGCATACTGCAAGATCCAATCCACGAATGCATGCAGCATGCAGCACTG